CCGTTAGTTGTTAAGTTGCACCTTGTTAGTCTGGAACCTTTGGTTGTAAAGTGGAACCTTGTTGGTCTGGAGCCGTTAGTTGTTAAGTTGAACCTTGTTAGTCTGGAACCTTTGGTTGTTAAGTGGAACCTTGTTGGTCTGGAGCCGTTAGTTGTTAAGTGGAACCTTGTTAGTCTGGACCCTTTGGTTGTTAAGTGGAACCTTGTTAGTCTGGAACCTTTGATTGTTTAATTGAACCTTGTTAGTCTGGACCTGTTGGTTGTTAAGTGGAACCTCATTAGTCTGGACCCGTTAGTTGTTAGGTGGAACCTTGTTAGTCTGGACCCGTTAGTTGTTAAGTTGAACCTTGTTAGTCTGGACCCGTTGGTTGTTTAGGGAAGACTTATTAGTCTGGACCCTTTGGTTGTTAAGTGGAGCTTGGTTAGTCTTAGACCCGTTGGTTGTTTAGTGGAACACCTTGACAACTTTGCCTAGGACACTTGGTATGCGTGTCTTTCAGAAGTGATTTTGTTTCTCTCCCATTTGAAAACAAATCTTAAAATAGAAATCATACCTATGATTTGAGACTTTAAACGATAATAACCTTTCATTGTGTTGAACCCATGACGCAGAGCTTTCTGTAAAACTACAGCTTAGTAAAATTGTATAGGTTCTTCGAGTACAGACGACCTACATCGAGCGCCAAGTAAAGTAAGACGTTCAGACAAACATGCAACTGCTTTTGTCCGGGCGAGTTAAATACATACACGAGTACTCCCTGCATAATATATGTAATAGGCACCATGGATCCCTACGACCTCCCACGTGTTTAAATAACAATGGGACGATTGAATCACAGATTTATGTTATAGGATTCAAGATGGTACAAATACAGTGGCGGATCCAGAGGGGTTTTTTGGGCTTCAGGAAACCCCCCCACCCTGAGAATTTTCTTTAAAAATCGTATATTTTGACCATTTCCCTCAATTTTTTCCAACATGGAAACCCCCCCAGGAAATTTGGAAACCCCCCCAGATAGGTCTCTGGATCCGCCACTGAAATGTAGGCGCTTCGCGTCTGTTCACACGCAATTTTGTGTGTGTATTAGAGCATGAACTGGTCAACATCTGGAAGTACATGTCGACAAGGACACTAGTACAGGAGGTAATGGACTTTCTTCTCCTAGAGCACATTGTCGGGTTTCCAGTTTAGTCGCTGTATAATGTCTAATGCATTAGTACTGTGCAGGTCGGCCTAGACAATTCATACACCTGTACACAATATCTATATTTAGTTTTTATAATGCTAGATCAATGACAATTTGTCAAAGATACACTTGTACCATTTAATATTTATTTTTAATTTTCAAATTTAGAAATTCATCATTAGTTTTATTCAGTTATTCATCATTTTTTGAATTATTTTTTTAGGTGAATATGTGGTTATGTAGACCTGTAAAGGAAAAAATAACCATGACAAAGTCGAGATCGATTCAACGTTTCAGGTCCCCACAACCAAATATTAACCGAAACAAGAAACCGCCAATGGCGATATGGCTGGATTGCAACAGTACATTGTCGTGTAAAGCATCACATGTGATAAGCATCCTTTAAGATACAAAAGCCATGCAAGTTTAGTTGACGTACAACAAGTAGTTACTTAGTAACTCACCTTAACCAATCTTCTAAACCTGGTCAGTGAAGCGGAAAATGTAGGTCAGAAGAAGCATCCGAAGCATCACATGTGATAAACATTCTTAGATACATAACCCATGCACGTTTCATTAATGTAGGACAAGTAGTTATTTGGAAAGCGACATATAAACCAATCGTCTTAACCTGGTCAGTTAAGCGGAAAATGAAGGTCAGAAGCAGCATCCAAAAGCAGGGGCGTTTCTAGGATATTTGAAAAAGGGCGTAGAATCAAATGTTTTGAAAAAAAACATAAAATAATTGTGAAATGCACTAATGTAACGGTTCCTGACTTGGAGCATGTCTATTTTATATTACGATAGTGGGTTTTTTTGTGAAAAGGGGGGCGTACGCCCATTACGCCCTCACCTGGACCCGCCCCTGTACAAAAGCATCGCATGTGATAAGCATTTAGTTGATGTGGGACCATTCATAACATGGAAGCTGAGCTTAACCATTCTTCTTAACCTTAGTGCAGACAGACGGACAGACGGGAATCGGCAATCTTATAAGCCCCGATTGCATTGCAATCCGGCCAATACAAATCCTTAATTGTTATATTTGATATTAATTTATGAGAAAATTACTGCAATTGGCAGAGCATAGTGACGTTACAATTGATGCGACTCATTAGTAACCTGCTGTTTCTGAAAATAGAAACATCGGTTAAAATTGCAAATCACCCGACCTCGACGTGATTATAGTTCAACCAATCAGGGCGTAGACAGGTTGTGTCATCTTAATATTGTACAATATCCTACAGTATTTGATCTTATTAATGAACAATATCCTACAGTATTTCATCTTAATATTGTACAATATCCTACAGTATTTCATCTTAATATTGTACAATATCCTACAGTATCTGATCTTAATATTGTACAATATCCTACAGTATTTCATCTTAATATTGTACAATATCCTACAGTATTTCATCTTAATATTGTACAATATCCTACAGTATTTGATCTTAATATTGTACAATATCCTACAGTATTTGACCAAATATTCATTGAACAGGGGGCGAGTACTCACAATTAACATTAGTACTTGTTTACTAAGCATCTTCCTGAAGTGTCTTTGCAATTAAATTTACATGTTTAAATTACAAAATATAGTTAACACCAATTAACACTAGACACATTCTCGATATCCAGGGGTGATCAGACGCTCACTTACGCTCTCTGTACTCCTGTTATACGTCATAGCAAAATTGAAGGCACAACGATAGCTGCTTGATTAGAGTCTCGGGTAAAAATACCCGACTAATCGCTAGGCCGATATCGGTCCTTTGAAGAATACAAAGGGGCGACATCCGACTTCTTTTGTAATTTTTTACCGTTACGCAACCGCTTGATTCTTTTGATGTACATCAAAGTATCGAACTCGTCTTCTAGTCTCATCAACAACGTGGCGCACACGGAGCGTTCAATTTTGCTATGACATATTATTGGGGTGCAGAGAGCGTATGTCCTGGATTTCAAGGATGCACATGACATTTGACATGCATTTCCCTTTATATGGTTTTATACTTGGTAAGTTTTCTTTTGAACTAAAAACAATACAAGTTTTCTTTTGAATTAAAAACAATACATAGGACTCCACTAGAAGTTATTATAAACTATCACTGATGCAGGGTATGAAAAATGTCTTGGAAAACCTTGAGCATAGAGCTTGTATTATCGTAAATCTGTTGTGCTTATACCTAACTTCAGGAAGGGATGCTGCAAAGTCTAGAGTATGGTATCCACAAGAATTCTTATCTTTGCATTTCAGAATTTTGGGCATTTATCCCAGCAAAATGTAAAATGATTTTTTGATCACAGGACATTTTTGCTTTTTTTCGCATCCAATAAAAGCAAATTTATCGCAGCAGTAAATAACAATACACAGCATAATGAATGGAATGTCATGAAAAATGGGATACTGGGAGAATATATGGATATACTGGTGAAATGTGAATATTTTGACAAGGCAAATTCTACCAGTTATCAGAAGATCAGTGATCTGGGTTTTAGTACATTTCCTTTCTGGTCGAGCTAGCTTTTTGTTGGTTGCTCAACAATTTGAGTATTGTTATCTCAGAAATCTGTTTCTTTGTAAATGTTCATTGTATCTCAGCGGTTTAGGCAATGTCATTTATACTGTAGCATTCCTCAATTGCTATTCAACTCATTCACCCCTTAAAGACACATTTGAACTCTTCCAATTCATAGGTTGGAATGTTCCATTATGAAATCTCGGGGGTGAACGAGTTAAACCAAACCTTTTGGAGTCCATCAGTGTCTGAATATGGCCAAGTGCTGGCAAATGAGTTGCCAGCTACGGATACCAGGATTTAGAATACGTTTTCAATTTATTGTTAAGGACATGTGCTGCCTTAATGCGACACATACATAAATCGATTTAAAAGAGTTCCAAACATGTATAATAATACCATCTAAAAATAATTTTGATCTTAATTCTTGATGTTATCAAAAGTCATAAGGAATGAAGCATCATATGATACTTGGTTAACTCTGAACCATAATTTAAAAAAAAAAGCTAAAATAAGGAACTTTCCATGGGAGATAACTCAACAATTATCACAAATATGCAAGGTAGCATATTCGTCTTTGGGTATTCCATAGTTATCTTCTCTTGTGAGCAGGTAGTGATTGATATGTCATTATTTTGTGCTTAGAAAATTACGTTTTCTCAAATTGATGATGTTACTCACAAACAAATGAGGTAACAAGAGAAGATAACTCTGCAATACGCAAAGACGGAATACACTTTATTGGAGTTGCCTTTTGTTTTTAATGCTCAGGAAATTCTAAATATGTTTCATAAATGAAGTTTATATGGTTTGCAAGGGAAATAACTTATAGTATGTGTAAGGTTAGCATAAACCCTTAAGTTTGGAAATATTTGTTCAAATATTGTAAGGTATTGAACAAATTCAACTATGTGTTAGTGTTTGTCATTCTTGGAGAAAAAAACAATAGAAACTTAAGTAATATACTAGAATTTATTATATACAAAAATATTTGAATAAAATATATAATCTGTAAAATATGTATACATTGTGTACAACACCTCTTAAAAATACTTATTGATTTTTAAAAAAGGTTAATTGCATCCATCTTTGATGATTAAAAAATCACATCTATTATATACTCTTTCCTTTAAATTCTAAAAATATTAGTCTCAAATTGTTAAATTATTTAATTGTAAAATAGAGATATGAATACAAAGACTGAATATTTTGTGATAATATAAAATCAAACTCGTCACGTTGCATAGTTTTTTTCGGAGGTGGCAGATTTAGCGGCGAGACAGTCTGCTTATAAAACGTTATTTTCTCTGACAAAGTATAATTGGCGAGTTAATATACGAAATATCATAAAAATAGATCACAAAATGTTAATAAAATATCTCTTCTTCCAAGTAACACGTAACCTTTTTTGTGATTTACAAATAATTAGAAACATGTAAGTTGGCACAATGTTGGGACTTGAATACCATTGTCCATCTTGGACCCCAAAACCTAATCTTGATAACGGAGCAGCACTGGAATGTATCATTATCTATGCGACCACAAAATTGGAATTTTTTGGTCATTCCTTCTGAGAAATACCCCGATATCAATTTCTACCACCACACTGTTACGATAAAGGTAGTAAAAAACCCATATTGCCATAGTAGATTATTCCTTCAAAGGGTCAAAGTTCATCTCAATTTCTGTCATTGTGACAAGATCCGACAATGTCTTCATTACAGTCACAACCAAAAGCCATAAAGACCATCACCTGCACTGCAACCACGATATGAACGACGTCTTAAATCACTTCGTTTGGAATTCCTCGAGTCTTTGATGGTGTAAGAACACAACAGCTAGTAAGTATATTATGCACATTATTTTTTTTACAAACATCCGGAGTTATCTCCCATGAAAACTTCTGTCCTGCGTTTGTTTTGAGTAGATATTTCAGATCTGTTCTGCCCAGCAGTTACAGCCTAGCATCATATCCATCGTTGGCATACCCTCCTTTCTGTGTCATCTGCAAAACACATTTGAAAAAAAAAAATTGTAAATGTCAGATTTCAATTTTATATTAATTTTAAATTCATGTATATAAGTTTGTCTTCCATCTGTTGATAAAAACTTCTCGAGCAACTTTCAAAATTTAGATTATTCATAGCATGTCATATTGGGTCCATACAATCCTTTTTAAACACAATTTTCTTTCATTACTACAATTCAAAGTTTGTAGAAGGGTGCATATCTGTTTATTTGTCAGGTTGCCAATGAAATACAACTTTTACTTAAGGATGTATGCTCCCAAAGTGTTGAATGCATCTTCTCCCAAAGAGTTCCTCATAAACGTAACTTGTTTACTATCTGATGAATTTTGACCCATCAATCGTTTTAATCGACAACCCTGCAAGTTAGGATAAAATCAGCATGTATTGATAGCATGATATTGGTTGACGAGACGATGCTGCTTTTTAAGGGAGACAACTCTAATACAAATCACAAGCAAGATGTACAAGGTACTTTGTACCCTTAATTGGTTATTTAATGTGTATAACGTTACTGGAGTAATTACCTTTTGGCAACAAGTCATCAGTTTAAAAATTTCAAAAAGGAAAGTATTGCATTGTGTGCATCTGATTCATTGCAATTTTTACTTGTTTGAAAGGCACATTCAAAATATTAAACTTTTGAAGAAAATAAATTCGAAATTAAGTTCAAGATTGAAAAGATTGCTGCTGCAAAATACATAACACAAGTGCACTGCTGTGAAAACTCATCCGGGTATATGTAAATGAAATTGAACACCTGTGCATTATCTGAAGAAATCAACTTGCATAAACATGAACAGAATTTTAACTGGCATGCAATGCTTCATAAAATTGTTAAGGCTGGTTTATCAAATATGCAATAAGGGACGCATTATGTAATTTTCGTCTAGTTCTATACATTTTTAACTAACCCTGGGCGTTGTCAGAATATTAATCGATCTAGACTTGGATCTTAAATGTGTTTTAACCCTATGATGAAATTATGAGGGAAGCAACGAAAAATAAGACCACAGCCTGCTTCAGGCCTTATTAGAGAGTGCCATCCTACCATTTTCTTGTGAAAGATCGAATACTTCATTTGGACCCATAGGTCTTATTATTGATGAACCGCAATCCCAGAACGAGTTGTGTAGAAGGGGGTCAATTAGAAATTCATAACTACAGTGTATTCACAAATCCTATAGAAAAGTAATGAGTTCTGTAGAAATATAGAAGTCCTAATGTAACAGGAAAGGTTTACCATGCTGTTATCTGTTAAACATGTTTCCCAAATACCCGTTGATTAATTACAACCAATTACCTGTCTCAAGTCATACCTGTTTTTAAGCAACATTAGAAATCAGTTTTTCCCACACCCTTATAAAACATCACTTACAATTATACATTTTCTATAATGCATTCTTTCTTTATGTTTCATTTGGCTATTTTTATTTGTGTTGTAAAAAGCCAAGACATTTTGTACAATTTACCTCTAAACATCAAACAAGAGAACTTGTACACTGTACCAATATTTTCATTAATCAAGAAAAATGGAATCTTATAATTTTTGCCAAGACTTTCTGCAGATTCAAATTTCAGTTGGGACAATTATTCATGCGAAATATTAAAGACGACCCATTCTGTCGAAATGTAGATATTCATATTTTGAAGTGAATTCAACTACAAATAAATTGGCCTTTAGGAAAAAATTATGCAACTCGGGACCAGCCCGGATGAAAATATTATTTACTGCTACCCTTTACGACTCTACTATGACTAGAGTGAAATTTCCTACTTTTCAAATATGATCCGATATCAAAATATTTAAAACACCATAAAGCAGTCTTCAGTAATGAACAATTAAATGCCAACACCAGTAAAACAAATTATATATAACTTTTGCAAGACAAAAAGTTTCAGTTACATTGAATTTTGTAAATATGCATTTAGCCTAGTAATTGTTATAAATCTATAGAAATATTAATAAATCACCGAAATTCCCTAAATCCCAAATACAATGCTCAAAATAAAAAAATTCAACAACCTTGTATATATTTATCTTTAAAAAAATTATATTCAAATGCCATAATTGATCAAATATGCAAATGTTGAGTTTCATTCTTTTTTAAAATTTATGCTAACATGAAGTTTTTTTAATTGCTACAATGAGCAGAGATGTTTCCAAATAGAATTTGTACAGGACAGCAAGATTCACACATATTGTTAAAAGCTGATGGTGAGCTAATGAGCAGAATGTAAGCCGACACCGAAATGAACAACCTTCGAAATGGGCGACTTGATGGCAGACTTGCCAGTAAACAGATTTGAAAATGAACAGATTCCAGACAGAAACTTTTGATAGATAAATGTCTATCATCCAACACTCAACAAATACAAGAAGATAAAAGCTTAACGCTTATTCAATAATGTTTTGCTAACATCTATCAGTGCTGAAGAAACTTACAATGCCACAGTTTGGCGTTTATATACGCACAATTTTGATTTATGCTCACAATACAGATTGTGATATACATATATACACTTAATTGTATTTCTCGTATCATATTAGTCATTTAGTGCAAGATAATTTATTGCATCTTAAGGGATGCAATGATAATTATATTTTTGAGAGGAAATAAGTTATATATAAGGATGAAGAGTTAAAGTCAGGGAGTGCGTTTTAAGCTGCAAGTGCAAGATGGTCATTGACCTTGTGTTTTAAACTGAGATTTTTCAGCCATAGAGTTAAGTATTTATTAACCAAATTCTTTAGTCAAAAGAGTTGTTCTTCAGAATTTCATCACCGTTTTAAAAAGTTTATTTGCAATGAATAAAACATTTCTACTCTTTGAAATTGCCTTCTTTGCTTTGAAGTCTTTAAAACCTTCGAGGTATTTGAATATACGTTCAATTTTCCACAAAATGAATAAATATGAACTGATTTGTAAGAAAATCAATGCTTAATGGAAACATACTTTCCAATGAGATAACATTTTGAAGAGCTCCATGGTATGATTGTATTTGCAAATAATGATCCCAAAAAGGCATGGCAGCAAATCTCTGTGGCTGATAGGTCTCAGTAAATTACTAAAGCTACGAGATATAAACTAAGCTTTAAGATTGACCTTGATGTTAGGATTGTACTGCGTGTCTTGACATGGGACATAGCCTATATTTTGATTACCACCGGTAGTGGTCATCTGAAACAGTAATCAACAGCCTTAGTATTCCACGTCATTGTCATAAAAGCTTCAAAATTAAAATAAACTCTTTCACATCAATTTTGAAAAAAAAAAAGAAGAAAATTGAGAGAACAACATTTTTACAATCAGGAAATCACCTGTTCTCCACATAGAACCCTGCATTTCTTTAAAACTTGTTTGATTCAGTGCTTTGACAAGTTTTTTTCATTTTTAATTGTTCTTTTAATTACTTTGTGACCTTACAGTAATGTTTATGATAAAACCTAAATATGAAACTTTATGCATTTTTCAACCCTGAAATAATATCAGATTTATAAACACTTAGTAGAAATACAGCAATTCCTAAAATACAGCATGATGCAGTGTGGTACAGTACTGGCATTATAATAAAGAATAAGTATTCATACAGATTAATTAGTAAGAAAGAAACATGAATTGCAGACTTATGAAAAATGATCTATAAGAAACAAAAAACTTGGTTGAGTTTTTGTTAACCAAATTTAAAAAAGTTCTGCGGTGAATAGTTATTGAAATAATAGTCCATTAAAAAAAAAAAATGAAGCAAATTGACAAAAACTATGTATTTTGCGTACAGAAATTCAGTTGGGAATTTATGTTTTACGTTTTTAAGAAATAATAAAAGTAGAAAGTTAAAAAAAAAATCACTTTAAAATCTAATTTCCTTTCGGATATAATCCAATGCTAGTCACCATATTAGTATTAAAATGAAAATTGTTAGTCAAAGATCATTGTGGTTAAAATTTAGAGAAAAAACTCTGCCAAGTTATCCTTCTTACCGGGAGATCTCCCTTAGATGGGATGGGACCTTCATTCCACGGATCAACAACAAAGGAACGATCATAGTTCTTCTCCACGGTGTACTCTGCGCATTCTTTTCGGTGCTTCACAAGAGCAGGACCCCACTCTGGAGTGGGAGAGCATGTCTTTCGGAAGCGCTAAAAATAGAGCCATATTGTTGATAAAAACTATGTTAAAATAAATATAAAACAGCATTGATGCTAAAATTAATACTAAAATTAATACAACTGTTTGAAAATGTTCCATTATAATAAAACATGTAAAATCATGGCAAAACATTGAAACTTTCATAAACTTACTATGAACGTGAACCTTAAATATGACTTTAAGGGACTACACAGTAATAATAAAATCGGGATTACTTTCAGCATGTAACTGAATATTCTTTAAACCTTAATAACATAGCAATATGAAAAAACTATGCAAAGATTCTGAATTTGAAAACAATTGATGAATTCATAGCTAAAATTGTAAATTAATAAGGACTCCAAAAATGATCTATTAAACTCATTCACCCCTGAAAACACTATTACACTCTTCCAATTCAAAGTTTGGGATAGTTCATAATGAAATTTCAGGGGTGAATGAGTTAAAGGCAAGACAACAGCATTGCATCAAATTTCGAAAAATTAGCATTTTGGATTTGTTAAACATTAATTAGGGTTTGGAAAAATAGTGGAACCCTAACAGCTTTTCCTATCGGCTATACAAATCAACAAGGTTTTGCTGGTTGGAAACCTTAACAAAGATGATAATATTTTCTTAAACTCATGATCTTGGTGCTTACCTCAGCAATACTTCCTGGGGTGATTGCCAGCTGGTAGATGGCAGTTCCGATTATGCAAATGATCACAAGCATGGTCATCAGCCATCCGAGAACGTCAGCAAATACTGGGTACTTGTCACCACTATCGCCTTCTGCCATGCTCTTGTAATCCACCCAGGAGAATATGATGATGGCCTGAAAGGTGAAATGACGGACAAAAGGTAAAGACAAGGTTGCAGACAGTTTTATAATAATAAATTCTCATGAAGTGGTGTAAATTGATCAAAGATCTTCAAAAATGACTAATAAGCCCAGGAGTGAGCTTATGAAGGGACAATAACTGAACTTTTTTTGGGAATTTCTAACTAAATGAAATAGACATTGGTGGCTTATTGCTGGGTTAAGTAGGTATTGCTTTTCTAACTTAGTATATGTAGTTGTTATCCGACGGCCATTTCATAACAAAGAAAACGTACAACACTGCACACATGTAAACACAAAACATGATTATTTCAAATATAGGCTTCTTTTGCAACTGCCATTTTTGATGTCTGCTTTAATGCACTTTTCTGAAATTTCTTCAAACCTCTTCATTTAATTTGGATTGTAAAATGATTTTAAACAAATGGTCCAGGCCAAATCTTTCTGCAGGCAATTTGAAATATGGTCTTTGTCAAATGTAAATGCAATGTCAACAAAATTGCAATGTTAATTGGGAAGCAATTGGTAATACTAAGCCATCGATCTATCGTGAAGTCAGCTAAAACAATAAGCTAACTGGCAAGCCAATCAGACATTTGAATTTTGCCAAGTCAGTTAATGCTGTACTGCATGCAATACCAAGCCAATTGACCCAATCAGTCATATACCTTATTAATCCTAATTCTGCTAACTGTATTTCATGTGGATGGGCCAAGTACCGGGAGTGCCAGGCATATTACCAGATATAAATCTAGTAAACTCTTTTCTTTGAAAATAAAAAACTGGTAAGAACAGTTTATACTTACAGCACACAAGAGGGGAGTGAGAAAGCACCAGCAGAACGCCCACCAGTACTTCAGGATCGTAAACACAATACTATTTCCAATCATGCATTCAATGTCGTTCATAAATCGTTGCACTCCTGAAAAAAAAAAATCCCATATATTTTCCAGTGTGACATTTTTCAATGGCGATAGTTAATTGTTCAAGGTGCAAATACAAATATCATGCAACTAAAATGCAGATACAGCATTTAACATGTACCAGGACAGCAGGGTTATAAAGGGACAATGGACCAGGACAGCAGGATTATAAAGGGACAATGGACCAGGACAGCAGGGTTATAAAGGGACAATGGAATGTAAATATTTTGCTTTATTTAGGAACACAAATAAGTTTGGTCTATTGGATTGAAAGAACCGATGCTTTATGAATGGGGTGTTTGCAGAACAAACAAAATTACCATAGCTAACCTTTGTAAAATGTGGTATTCTGACTATTTTGAAATATATATATTGATGATGTACGTTCTATCCGACTTCTACTGGTCGATACTAATTCACTTGTCATTCTTTTGCATCAAACTTGCTAAAAATGATATGGGTTTGCTAAGAATTTTGCATCCTTACAATAGCTACAAGATATGGTGCCCACAGATAATGCTCAAATGCCATTAAAGGGCAGTTTTGAAATTAAATTGCCATTTAACCAGTGTACTACATTACCTCGACATTGTAGCTGAACGTACAATATTGACCACAGAATTTTGGATAGCTAAGGGACACCTACCGTATATCCAGCCGATCGAGATACATTCACAGATGGCAATGACGAGAATGTTCCATCCGCCAGAATAGGTATCCATGACCTCCAACATGTAGATTCCTCCCTATGGAAAAGAAATGTTTAAAAGATATAAACGGTCAATTTTGTTTAAATAATACCTGTTTGAATCATATTCCTGTTAATGTCATGCCTGTTTACATCATGTTTTTATTATTTGAACATTTTAGCTGTACATATTCTGCATTTAGTTTTACAAAAGTCCAAATTAACGCTTCTTGATATTTTTTTTATACAATAAGTAAAAAATTAAGCTTATTGATTTTCTACAATCAGTAAAACTTTATGCTTACTCATTTTATAGCAAATTAGAATATGAAGCTTCACTTACATTTGTAGTCAGTGTCAAACCAAGGAGGAAGAACAACGCCGATATACCAATAACAGTGAGGAGCTTTTGTTTTCTCAGTTTTGGGAATCTGTCGAGGAGGGAGGTGATCACAGTCTCCACCAATACGAACTGTAGAAAGAATTTAAACAATTTTGTAACATTTTAAGGTAGCAAGTCCCAGCAATGTGTTGCATCTCCAACTAAAATTGTGCTCCAATTTGTTGTGCGGTTTTCTGATTTGGGTGTTGCTTAACCTGTTTCTATAGCAGCAAAAGAGTTTGTATATGAAAGAAACATATTTACTGAAACTTCCCCACAGAATTATGTTGGCAATGGGAATTCATGATTATTTTGTTTTTGTAACTTTGTATACCGAGATCCATTTCAAAACTCCCTAGAAATAAAGCAGTGGGTTTATCATCACAGGTAAAAAGCACTTTAACTGCATCTTGATTTACCTCGGAATCTACACCGAGAGTGATCAACATCATAAAGAAAAGGATAGCCCAGACTGGTGCCGCAGGTAGAGTCGTCACGGCGAACGGGTACACCACAAAGGTCAAGGATGGTCCACTCTTTGCCACTTCAGCAACTGGAACGTCGATCAGTTTCGACAGGTAGCCGAGGTAGGAAAAGATCACAAATCCGGCAAACACACTGGTCAGACAGTTACCAAACGCTACAGTCAACGTATCCCTGCATCAACGAAGAACAATTTTTCATTATAAATGTCCGAAATAAAATATTCAGGTCCCTGAAAATTAGTTCCCCATCAGAAAATTTAAAACCTGTGAATTATACTTATGATAATAAGCAAAATAAATTTAACATTAATTTATAAATAAACAGATGGCAGTTGCAGAAGTTGGAAAGATATATTCTACGAGGTCATCCAATTTTATTCAGACAACACAATTGAGAGACAGCTGAATTGTCAGCATATTGTAAACATTCATGCTATTTTACCTATTTCCTATTGAGAAGTTGGAAAGACAATAGTATATCATGGGTCTCAATGTCAGGAAACTGGAGCACCTGGAGAAAACCCATGCATTGGTCATATTGTACTTTTAAAATATTTATCACTCTAGTTGGCAAGGCTTTCTTGGTTAAAGGCGACTGCACTCTTCCCTTTCACCACACAACCACCCGTAAGTTATTTGCTGTGAAGAGCCCAGTCTAAAATCTTTGTCGGCTCACCTGACACAGTTGTTGTGGAACTTGTTGTAACTGGCCAAAGCAATCAAACCACCCCATGAAGCAGACAGAGAAAAGAAGATCTGCACAGCAGCATCCTTCCACACCTACACAGCAAACAAAAAGCATAATTCATTTAAGACAGTAATAAAGTAATATGACAAGATGATAAGCATAGCAAGACAGTTATGATGAAGTCGAATAATTTGCAAACAAGATGTCCTAGTGCCTTTTTAACGTTGCTAATTGTTTAAAGATCGCCTGGATTAAAAACAAGAACACGAAGGATGGGTGCCAATTTGGGCCTTCTGGTTGCTATCAGCGAAAAGTGTTTTTTTGTATATACATATACCTTGGGGGTTATGCCATCATGATATGACATGAAATTAAGGTCAGCTTGGAGACCATCCCGAGATATGAGGGGGTAAAGTGGGGGACCAAAATCACAAATGGACGCTTTTACAAAACTAAATGTTATTTTTTTTAAAGGTTCTTCATCATTTTGGTGTATTGCGTAACACTAAAGCAGCAAATATTAAATATGGCCGAAAAAGAGTAGCACATGGTTGATAATTAGGTCACTATGACCTTGTTATATATTGGCTTAATTATGTCAACAATTCTTCCCTTTGTGTCTAAATACATATTAGAACCATACAATAATCTTACCAAATTGTATTAATAAGTATCTTAACCAAACCTCAAGAATTGGGAGGAGGAGGAGGGGGGGATATAAGTCCAAAATAAAAACATTTGCATGAAATGCTTACTTTTTGAAATATCTGAAAGTCGGATGCATGTCTAAATAAAAGTGTGACTTCTGTGCTAAAATTGCTGTACTTATGAATAAGTGTTAAAACGTCGAATAAAGAAATAAAAACCTGCTTACTTCTGCAACCCTCCTCCTCTAAAATTTAAAATATTTAAAAAGGTATGATTCTATTTGCATACCCCGGAGTCCTTCAGTCTTTCCAGATCTGGTGTGATATAAAATTTTATGCCCTCCATGTAGTTATCCAGCATTACACCACGGATCAGCAGGATGACCAACACAATATAGGGAAATGTGGCAGTGAAATACACGACCTGAAATATACAATAGTGATGAAATACACAAATTGAAATATACAATAGTCATGATATACACTACTTGAAATTTACCATGGTCATAAAATATAACAGTCATGAAATACACAACCTTAAATATACAAAATAGTTTTGAAATGCATAACAAAATACAATGCAAAAGTGTATAATGTAGTTATCGATAAAATCCAACATATTTTGTAGCTATGAAATTCACAAACTTCAGCATTTTTTTTTATAAAAGCCAATTAAACTTTCGTTTTGTTTCTGGAAATGACATTGCTATATATAATAAGAATATTTTCAGCATGAAATCTTTGAAATAAAAGCTTTCACCTTTTCACCATAATGGACTCATCCAATTCAATGCATGGAAGAGTTTACTTAAATTACATAGGTGGTGAAAGGATTAACATTTGTTTAGGTTTGTTTGTGGTTTATGTCCTATTATTAACAGCTATAGTCATTTAAGGACGTGCCAGGTTTTGGTGATGGCAGAAAGCCAGAGTTCCCGGAGAAAAATACACCTACCTAGGACCAGTGCCTGGCGACTGCCCCATGTAGGCCTCCAAACCCGCGACCCAGTGGTGGAGGGCTAGTGGTAGCAGAATGTAGGACGCCTTAACCACTTGACCATGAATGCGGCCCCATATAAAAAGGGTTAACATTCAATATCGGACAGTTTGCAAATAGAGGCCACTGATTTTACCTTGCTTAGTGTATTAACTATATACTCTACCTTGCCTGAAGTCTTAATACTCTTGCTGAGCGCCAAGACGACAAAGACGAAAGCTAGAAGGTAGCACAGGACCATCTGCCAGCGAGGCGACTGCAGATCATCCAGACCTGCACTGTAGCCTGCACCAGTTGCCACGTAACTGAAAATTAGTTTTTTAATGAAATCACAACAAATGAAAAAATAACTGACTCCAGTTTTTTGTCTCTAAATTAACATCCAGAAGATTTTCAAATTGTAAAAATCAAGGTATTGCTCAAGTGTGAAATTCACATTTGCCAAAAGGCATCCTCAGCGCAAGCCTTTGTATTAATTATCAATTTTAACCTCTTTAATTCTTGAGCTTACCACAGATAAATCAGATATACTCAAAAGTACGAAAAACCTACTCAAAATATTCCTGGGATGGCAGTTCACGCTTGATGCCGAACTCGCTAGCCAGCGTCTTGTTAATGAAACCCACTACGTTTGACTTGGCAAATGGCTGATCGTCATGGCAGGTGCCCCAGTTGAAGTTGCTGAACCAAGTTTTGTTCATAGTTCTAGAACCAGCCAATTGACAGGTTTCACCAGCCGTTTGGTTCAGAATGTGAACTCTGTCGAAACAAACTGCAAAAGCAAGAACGAGAGATACACATAATTGGAAGTTTGGTGTTGTAAATTTTACAGGATGATGCAGAGAGTTCGTAGCCATGCTGATAAATAAACGGGTTCAGACTTACGGTTTGTGCTCCAGGATCCACACTTGTCCCATGGCAGTTCGGTGGTAAAGGAGGCAAACAGGTAGTAGCAGGCCCAGCCGATGATCATGTTGTAGTAGATACCAACAAGCCCCGATACGATGAACATTCCATATCCCACACCTTATATCAAGACGTTTCAAATTTAACTTCGAAAAGGTTTTAAAGTGCATTTTTCATTAACAAAAAAAATCAGCATGTTCCAAAAAAGATTATGAGTTTTTTGCGGAACCAGAAATCTTAATTTTTTTCCATATAATGTAATTGTGCAATTTGTACATTTAACATTATAAAACTTTGTAGAAGTGTTTTAAAGGCATTTTGAGTTTGAAATGTTTTAAACTTATAAATTTCCATGGGCCACACAAATTTACTCATATCATGTAGAGTAAAAGCCTTACTTTGGGCCTTAAGCCATTGTACTGCATCATTAGATTATAGTTTCCATACCTGTGAAAAGGGGTGCATATTTCCAGCATGTCACAGGTCCAGCACTTGCAAACTGTCCGAGGGACAACTCCATTAGGAAGATGGGAACACCAACAATGGCCAACATAATTACATAGGGAATAAGGAAAGCACCTGGAACAAATTCGAGACAACAGAAATTAAAACAAGAAACCGCTAATGGCGATATGGCCGGATTGCTACAGTACATTTTCATGTAAAGCTTCCGACGTGATAAGCATCCTTCACGATAACTAAGCCATGCAACTTTAGTTGATGTACAACAAGAAGTTACTTGGTAAGTGACCTAAACCAATCTTCTAACCATAGTGCAGATGGGGCCTGACCTGCAATCTTCTTAACCTGGTCAGTCAAGTGGAAAATGTCAGCACTTCCTTAGAAACGATAGTTGGAAGATCTCAAAAGTAGATATTTAACTTGCACCGTTAGCTTTAACCACTTGGTCACTGCGGCCCCTACCTCATTAGAATTCTTCGATACCCAGTGTAAAAGTTTTAAGGAGTTTCAGCGCAAAATAAAACACGGAAGTTACCTCCTCCATTCCTGTAGCAGAGATAAGGGAAACGCCAAACATTTCCGAGACCCACAGCATATCCTAGACAGGACAGGAAGAAGTCAAAACGTCCACTCCAGTTTCCTCTCTCCTTATTTTCATCTCCATCCTCATCATCTAAGCTCTTGCCAGCCTGCTATTTAGAAAATGTTGGTATTCAATTACAAGTTCCTTTGGGTACATTTGTGAAATGTTTTCCCTATTTAAAGTTACTGGGCGATATCTACTGTAGGCAATGTACAAAGCCACTTATTTCAAACCTTTTACCCTCTCCCAAGTACATTACATCCTAAGAATGCAGTCTTAATTGTTGCATCCTATCAACAACCCTTTCGACACTGTAGACCATAATGGACTCGTCCAGATCAATTTATGGTAGAGGTTATTAAAGTTATATAGGGGTGAATGGGTTAAGAATTATTGAGCAGGACATTTGCAAGTAATATGATGTTTGTCAACCACTGAAAATGGCTTTCAGCTTGTATATTACGCGATATTTTATTTGCCAAAACAACAATATTCATCATTCCTACTATATATGATTTAGGAACGGTGAAACATGCACACGTAAACATCATTCCCACTGCTGTGTATTACACGGGTCAGGAGTGGCGAAACACATACACGTTATGGTAGACATCATTCCCACTGCTGTGTATTACACGGGTCGGGAGTGGTGAAACGCATACACGTTATAGACATCATTCCCACTGCTGTGTATTACACGGGTCAGGAGTGGCGAAACCCATACACGTTATGGTAGACATCATTCCCACTGCTGTGTATTACACGGGTCCGGAGTGGCGAAACACATACACGTTATGGTAGACATCATTCCCACTGCTGTGTAATACACAGATCGGGAGTGGTGAAACACATACACGTTATGGTAGACATCACTCCCACTGCTGTGTATTACACGGGTCGGGAGTGGTGAAACGCATACACGTTATAATAGACATCATTCCCACTGCTGTGTATTACACAGGTCGGGAAGGGTGAAACACATACACGTTATGGTAGACATCATTCCCACTGCTGTGTACTACACGGGTTGGGAGTGGTGAAACATACACGTTATGGTAGGCATCATTCCCACTGCTGTGTACTACACGGGTTGGGGGTGGTGAAACATACACGTTATGGTAGGCATCATTCCCACTGCTGTGTACTACACGGGTCGGGAGTGGTGAAACACAAACACGTTATGGTAGACATCATTCCCACTGCTGTGTGCTACACGGGTTGGGAGTGGTGAAACGCATACACGTTATGGTAGACATCATTCCCACTGCTGTGTGTTACACGGGTTGGGAGTGGTGAAACGCATACAGGTTATGATGGACATCATTCCCACTGCTGTGTACTACACGGGTTGGGAGTGGTGAAACGCATACACGTTATGATAGACATCATTCCCACTGCTGTGTATTACACGGGTTGGGAGTGGTGAAACACATACAGGTTATGATGGACATCATTCCCACTGCTGTGTACTACACGGGGTGGGAGTGGTGAAAAATACACTGCTGTGTATTACACGGGTTGGGAGTGGTGAAACGCATACAGGTTATGATGGACATCATTCCCACTGCTGTGTATTACACGGGTTGGGAGTGGTGAAACATATACACGTTATGGTAGACAGACATCAATCCCACTGCTGTTTATTTCATTGGTTGGCAATGGTGAAACATTGCACCATATGGTTGAAAAGCAGTGTTCCAATTATTCAGCGAACAAGTTCACTATCAGGAAGAAAATCATGATTTTTTTTTGTAGGTTGACAATATCAACTATTCAGTTCTTTGTACAGATATTGTCAAGGCAAACATCTCGGGTCTGTTGGTTCAACCCATATACATGCAGCAATAGTCGTAGCTACACCGAAGGGTTAAAACATGTTTTGCTATAGGTAAAGGTGATCACGTCGCCGACCTTAGAATAGAAATGGAGATCGGATCGTATAGAATGTACAAAGTATTATCACCAGACCAGGCATGGTCAGCTTGCGTTCAATGTATTCCAAGGCACTGTTGTTCAGGAAAGGTACCTCACTCAAGATTAATTCTCTTTTATAAAGGACATTCAATACTTTTAAAAGTCCGCTTGATAGATAATGCGGCCCCATTCTTCACTAATACTTTCAATACAGATGTAAATACATCGGCTTTTCTGAAAATAAACATGACTAGACAAGAATGCTCTCATTTAAGTATTGTGAACCTGTTTATGGGTATTGAATGGTGAGCACACACAAGTAAAGCAGCTGAATTTGCTTGACTGGGTTCATAGAAAAGTTATTACTATTCCAGCTAGTGTAAATAATTTGAACTGATACAATCTTAACAAGACAATTTCATAAGTTGATTAATAGAATAAATATACCATAAAGCAATAAACAGGATCTCCAAACGATTTATGCAAAACCGACACTTGGAATAACTTTTTTGCTGATAAAATTTTGCACACATGACATGCGAGTCACATTTTAAGTAAAATTTAAGACGTAAATTATATGTTTAGGGGCGTGAAAATAGGCAATTGTTCCTAGAAAACATTGGTTTTCATTTGGCCTTCCAAGTTCCATATCACAGTTTATGAAGTGTCTTGTTTTGAGCTGTCTATAAATATTTATACAGTTACAGACTGTAAATAATGATGGCTGGGAAATCTTGCCACGCAGTGTTTCACTTTGTACCTTTACAATTATTAATAAGTCTTGTCGGCTATACTACCAAGTCTGTCGGCTATACTACTAAATTATTCATAAACCTTCAAGCCAATATTCAAATGTACGGTTGTTTAGGCGCATGCCAAAATGAAATCTGGTTTCCTGTTTGCCTTTTGTGCCAGAAATGATTTAAAAAAGATTTCAATTTGAGTGAACCAGGTAGTTCAAGCTGGGTTTTTTGGCATGCAGTTATAAATTGTCATCAAGGAAAAAATCATTAACATTTCGTCTAATAATCTATTCCCTATATACTAGTGTTATTACAATTTAAATACATGTCTGTACATATATGTCAATAACACTTGAAATTGACGTTTTGGATATTAAAATTTAAAGACGTATAACAGCTTGTACGTATGCTAGCTAGCTCACAGCAAGCTAAAGAGTTGTACAATTTTACCAGAGCGACATCCTGGGCGAGATATTATTTTTCGGGAATTAAAAAATTTTGGATCAATATTTACTATCAAATTACAGACGGGGTGAGCAGATCCAATTTTTCAAAATTTGCATGTGAGCCGAGTAAAATAATATTGTACACCTCGATCTGTATGCTGTTGCAGAATTCCAAAGGGTGTCTATCTATCCCCAGTCAATACAGGTGTTTATAAGTGGATCTTCTCTAATACTGGGTTTGTTCAAAGCCGCAATTTAATGGTGCAAGCTCGACTTTCAAGAGTTCTGGTATTTGCATGCCTTTAAAAAGCTAGCCGCCCTAAAACAATAATTATAACATATTTGTCAACAGTTGTGCCTATAGCATCCTCGATATCCAGGGGTTACGCTCACTTTCGCTCTCTACACCCCTGGAATACATCATAGCAAAATTGAAGGCACGAAAAGCTGTTTGATTGGTCTCGGGTAACAAAAACTGACCAATCGCTAGGCCAATACCTGTCCTTTGAAGATTACAAAGGAAAGACACACGACTTTAAAGCCTGTCAATTTTTTTTACCGTTATGTGAACGCGAGATGCCAGATTCATTCAGATGCGAGATTCATTCGATGTACATCAAAGGATCGAACTAGTCTCGTCTCAAAAAGGTGGCACACACCATGCAAGCCTTCAACTTTGCTATGACATATACCAGGGGTGTAGAGAGCGAAAGTGAGTGTAACCCCAGTATATTGAGGATGCATCTATAGCTGAAAGTGTCTATATCAATGAGTTTTTGAAGGTTCCAAAACTGTAAAGCATCAAATTTGCTAAATATTGTATCCTGCAATAAGCCCAGGGGGCCAATGAAATAGTATTTGTTGGCATTTGTACTGTATTGTATTAGATATCAGGGTGGGCTTATTACCAGGCATGGGCTTGTTGCCAGATAAATGCAGTATTGGATAAACACTGTGGACTTAAAAGATTTATTAAGTAATTTATTTAATATTTTACTTCTTTAGAATGTTACAAGAGGGTATGTCCTGTATCTATCAAGTTACTTGGATTCTATTGCAATACATCTACGACAATTTGAACCTTGGGTTTAAAAACAAAAATCCTAGTTTGTGTACCATGAATAAATGAATACATGTGTACCGTATGAAATAAGAGCTCCTCACTTCTAAACTTTCTGACCTTCAAAATGACTTTATTAAAACATCTACCCTTCATGCCTCACTTCCTGCATTGCCTATACGTCTATACAGACACATAGATTTAATATGGGTGTTGCTCGCCGACATCTAGGTCGTACAGGTAATTTTAATGACTTACCCAAGTGAAATAAAATGAGACGCTATATTGTGATGTTCCAAATCGGTATACTGATGATTTTCCTTCCACAGGAAATTGATAATTTCCTTTTGGTATAATACAGACTGTGGTATTAAAGTTACTAGTACGGGTATATTAAGGTACCATTTAAAGTAGGTGGATTCCTTCCAACAGTAATTTTTCTGTTTTATGTAAAAACTGTGGCAATTATTTATACAATTTTCAGGGGTCCATCATGTACCAATATCTTTATTTCCATAAAAAAAACACCAAAAAAACACATGTTAATACATACTATGGTGCCAAACATTTTTCCTCAAAGTTTTCAACAAAAAAACGAAAGACCATATTACATTATGTAAGTACTTAAATCTTTTAAACCAATCCTTTACAGCCATGCAATTTGGCATCGTATTTTGAAAGAATTCCTAGAGTATTTTTCTTTCTTCTGCATGTCGTACTTAAATTACTTTGTATGCATGTTAAAGGTTGTTGTAATTAATCCATTGTGTACCGATACTTTAGGAATTCTCATTGTGAAAGTACATGAGTGACGCATCAAAAACGAGATTTAGTTGCGTGTTCAGAAGTGTAAATGCAATACCATTGCATGGTAATGATCTGTCAACAACAAAATAAACTGTCAACAAACAATAAATAATCTGAAGGCCCGAACAGAAGAGAGCAA